AATTCAGAGTTTATATCTCACAATTCAGAGTTTACATCTCATAATTCAGTTTATATATCATAATTCAGAGTTTATATCTCAAAATTCAGAGTTTATATCTCATAATTCAGTGTTTATATCTAATAAATTAGAGTTTATATCTCAATTCAGAGTTTATATCTCAATTCAGTTTATATCTCAATTCAGAGTTGATATCTCATAATTCAGAGTTGATTTCTCAATTCAGAGTTGATTTCTCACAATTCAGAGTTTATATCTAAAAATTCAGAGTTTATATCTCATAATTCAGTGTTTATATCTCACAATTCAGAGTTGATTTCTCACAGTTCAGAGTTGATTTCTCACAGTTCAGAGTTTATATCTCACAATTCTGAGTTGATTTCTCAATTCAGAGTTTATATCTCACAATTCAGAGTTTACATCTCATAATTCAGTTTATATATCATAATTCAGAGTTTATATCTCGTAATTCAGAGTTTATATCTCAATTCGGAGTTTATATCTCACAATTCAGAGTTTATATCTCACAATTTAGAGTTTATATCTCAATTCAGAGTTTATATCTCATAATTCAGAGTTGATTTCTCAATTCAGAGTTGATTTCTCAATTCAGAGTTGATATCTCACAATTCAGAGTTTATATCTGTAATTCAGAGTTTATATCTCATAATTCAGAGTTTATATCTAAATTCAGTTTATATCTCACAATTCAGTTTATATCTCATAATTCAGGGTTTATATCTCATAATTCAGAGTTTATATCTCACAATTCAGAGTTGATTTCTCAATTCAGAGTTTATATCTCACAATTCAGTTTATTTCTCAATTCAGAGTTTATATCATAATTCAGTTTATATCATAATTCAGAGTTTATATCTCATAAATTAGAGTTTATATCTCAATTCAGTTTATATTTCACAATTCAGTTTATATCTCAATTCAGAGTTTATATCTCATAATCCAGAGTTTATATCTCATAATCCAGAGTTTATATCTCATAATCCAGAGTTTATATCTCATAATCCAGAGTTTATATCTCATAATCCAGAGTTTATATCTCATAATCCAGAGTTTATATCTCATAATCCAGAGTTTATATCTCATAATCCAGAGTTTATATCTCATAATCCAGAGTTTATATCTCATAATCCAGAGTTTATATCTCATAATCCAGAGTTTATATCTCATAATCCAGAGTTTATATCTCATAATCCAGAGTTTATATCTCATAATCCAGAGTTTATATCTCATAATCCAGAGTTTATATCTCATAATCCAGAGTTTATATCTCATAATCCAGAGTTTATATCTCATAATCCAGAGTTTATATCTCATAATCCAGAGTTTATATCTCATAATCCAGAGTTTATATCTCATAATCCAGAGTTTATATCTCATAATCCAGAGTTTATATCTCATAATCCAGAGTTTATATCTCATAATCCAGAGTTTATATCTCATAATCCAGAGTTTATATCTCATAATCCAGAGTTTATATCTCATAATCCAGAGTTTATATCTCATAATCCAGAGTTTATATCTCATAATCCAGAGTTTATATCTCATAATCCAGAGTTTATATCTCATAATCCAGAGTTTATATCTCATAATCCAGAGTTTATATCTCATAATCCAGAGTTTATATCTCATAATCCAGAGTTTATATCTCATAATCCAGAGTTTATATCTCATAATCCAGAGTTTATATCTCATAATCCAGAGTTTATATCTCATAATCCAGAGTTTATATCTCATAATCCAGAGTTTATATCTCATAATCCAGAGTTTATATCTCATAATCCAGAGTTTATATCTCATAATCCAGAGTTTATATCTCATAATCCAGAGTTTATATCTCATAATCCAGAGTTTATATCTCATAATCCAGAGTTTATATCTCATAATCCAGAGTTTATATCTCATAATCCAGAGTTTATATCTCATAATCCAGAGTTTATATCTCATAATCCAGAGTTTATATCTCATAATCCAGAGTTTATATCTCATAATCCAGAGTTTATATCTCATAATCCAGAGTTTATATCTCATAATCCAGAGTTTATATCTCATAATCCAGAGTTTATATCTCATAATCCAGAGTTTATATCTCATAATCCAGAGTTTATATCTCATAATCCAGAGTTTATATCTCATAATCCAGAGTTTATATCTCATAATCCAGAGTTTATATCTCATAATCCAGAGTTTATATCTCATAATCCAGAGTTTATATCTCATAATCCAGAGTTTATATCTCATAATCCAGAGTTTATATCTCATAATCCAGAGTTTATATCTCATAATCCAGAGTTTATATCTCATAATCCAGAGTTTATATCTCATAATCCAGAGTTTATATCTCATAATCCAGAGTTTATATCTCATAATCCAGAGTTTATATCTCATAATCCAGAGTTTATATCTCATAATCCAGAGTTTATATCTCAATTCAGAGTTTATATCTCATAATTCAGAGTCTAAATCTCATAAATTAGTTTATATATCACAATTCAGTTTATTTCTCAATTCAGTTTATATCTCATAATTCAGTTTATATCTTACAATTCTGAGTTTATTTCTCATTTCTAAGTTTATTTTTTACAATTCTGAGTTTATTTCATCCCATTTTGAGTTTATTTCTTGCAATTCTGAGTTTATACAGTGGGGAAAAAAAGTATTTAGTCAGCCACCAATTGTGCAAGTTCTCCCACTTAAAAAGATGAGAGAGGCCTGTAATTTTCATCATAGGTATACCTCAACTATGAGAGACAAAATAGGTCTGTGAGAGCCAGAAATCTTGCTTGTTTGTAGGTGACCAAATACTTATTTTACCGAGGAATTTACCAATTAATTCTTTAAAAATCCTACAATGTGATTTTCTGGATTTTTTTTCTCATTTTGTCTCTCATAGTTGAGGTATACCTATGATGAAAATTACAGGCCTCTCTCATCTTTTTAAGTGGGAGAACTTGCACAATTGTTGGCTGACTAAATACTTTTTTGCCCCACTGTATCTTGAAACTCAGAGTTTATATCTCTCAATTCAGAGTTTATATCTCTCAATTCTGAGTTTATATCTCTCAATTCTGTTAATCTTTCTCAGATCTGCAAGAACAAAAGTCAGAATTGTAAGATAAAAATGCAATTACCTCTTTTATTTTTTATCCCGTGACGGAAATGTGCTTCCATACATTTATCCATAAGAAACAGTAGAATTTTTCCCAGCTTGTCAATAGTAGCTGTTACCTCTAGTTATTGTAAATGCCAATTTATTAAAGGTATGAAATGCTGTAAACTACAAACATGGAATGGGAAAAATGACTGATGGGAATAAAACCCAAAAGCAGCTCAGTAAGTGTTTGATAATATGACATCCCCATATGAAACATGCGACGGTACCTCTGAACTCTCCAGAAACTGCAGGACATCGGGGTCTTTGAGCAGCGCTGGTTGTTTGACGGTCCTCAGCAGATACCTGCAACACAAACACGCCTTAGCATCAGGATCCAGTTCTGTAACAGCCGAGGAACGCCGGCCGAGCCGCTGACCTTCACGTCAGTCAGCGGCCGGATAAAAAGGGCAGAGAAATGTCAGCGCCTCACTTAACTGTAATTTTTATTCGATTCATCAGTTTGTGCAAAACCAGGAGCGCAGCAGCGATCAGCGGAGGAGAGAACGGGACAGCAGCAAACCTATATCATTATTTATCTAATATTTCTTGCTTAACCTTTTAGCCACAAAAGACCAGAACAAGAGTGATCTTTCCACCGCATCAGACCAACAGAAAACACCAGACACCTGGGTATCGATTCCATTCAGATTCAATTCGATTTGATATCGATTCATTTGGATCAGGTCCAGCACAAAATCTCTCAACTAATAATGCCTCAACTAAACTACTATAAACCCTGTCAGTTGGTGCATTACTATATTAAACTGATTAATAAACAAACATTTAAAGGCAGTTTTATATAATAAAAATAGGTTTTTAATAATAAGTATTATTAAAATTAAACATTTAAATGGTAGATGTCATAACTGACTGATTTATTCAGACATACATTAAAAATAAAAAATGTAATATAGTGCATATATAGATCAAAATCTAGAAAGAAGCAGAAAATTTTGTAGAATTTTCTTCTAGCTGACTATCGAGTTTTATGTTCATTAAATGTCTTTCCTGAGGTAAATATGACATTAATGATTTCAAGCTGATTTAGTGACGTCTTTCTGCAGTTGAATCACTGATTGATCGATTACATGATTCATGATTGATTTCAGTGAGCTGCTCTGTTTCTTCTGCTGTTAATTTGTGTTTATTTGCTGCTATAACTAGTAGTAAAGAGGAAGAGATGATCGTCTCACTACAGCATCTGTCAGCACCCGTGTTAAAATTAATGCATTACAATATTGTGTTACTCCATAAAAAAGTAACTAATTGCATTACTGAGTAACTTCTTATGGAAAGTAACACATTTAAAGAGCCACAAAAACACATTTATTGCTTGAATTTAGTGATACAACTGACAGAATTTGAAAGTTGAGACTTTGTTTCATATCAAAAGAAAGAAAGCACAAAGATTATTGTGATTACTGGATGGGTGGAGCTACAAATAATGTTTCAGTAAGTTTTATTCACACATTAACTTTTATAAAACAGCACAGATCGATTCTTGGGCTTTAAGAATCAGTATCGGTTCGTCAAAATGAGAAGCGATTAAAATCAAGAAATCTATGTTTTTAAACCCAGCTCTAGTGCTGACACTGAATGAAACTAAAACCAGTGAATAAATGAATGAAGAATTGCCACATCTCAACTCGAATACCTTTCCAAAGCAGATCTTCTCTTCTCTACAAACTCAACCGATGACAGATCCTCTTTCCCCACTTTGACCTTCGTCATGCCTGAAACACACACACACACACACACGCACGCACACACACACAGACAGAGACACACACACACACACACACTCACACACACACACACACTCTCTCTCACACACACACACACACACACACTCTCTCCCACACACACACACACACACACGCACACACACACAGACAGAGACACACCCACTCTCTCTCACACACACACACACACACACACTCTCTCCCACACACACACACACACACACGCACACACACACAGACAGAGACACACCCACTCTCTCTCACACACACACACACACACACACTCTCTCCCACACACACACACACACACACGCACACACACACAGACAGAGACACACCCACTCTCTCTCACACACACACACACACACACACTCTCTCCCACACACACACACACACACACGCACACACACACAGACAGAGACACACCCACTCTCTCTCACACACACACACACACACACACTCTCTCCCACACACACACACACACACACGCACACACACACAGACAGAGACACACCCACTCTCTCTCACACACACACACACACACACACACACACACACAGACAGAGACACACACACACACACACACACTCTCTCACACACACACACACACACACACACTCTCTCACACACACACACACACACACACACACACTCACACACACACACACTCTCTCCCACACACATACACACATACACACACACACACACACGAGCTCATCATTGATCTGACGCCATCAGAACTCGTCTCTGATGATCTGTGCATGGACTCACCCACAATGCTCTTCTCAGGAGCAGGAGGAACGATGTAGCCCATGTGGATGTACTTGGAGGCTAATTTACTGTGCAAACCCAGAAAATCGCTGAAGCGCCTCTTGACGCAGACCTCGTCTCTGATGAATATGGACAGACTGGTCTGCAAACAGAGAAAGAGAGTCACACACGTCCTCCAGAAGATCCACAACATCTCAGAACAGAACCTAAAGCTTTTCTTACTTTGGTCGTCACTTTATAGACCATGTACGCATTCATGCCGTCACCTAGAAAAACAAAGAAAGTAATCACAATCAGAATCGGCATGTGTGCACAAATACACAAGGAATTGTGGTTTCCAAAAGGTCTGGGCAAAAATTAATTAATTAATACAATTTTAAAAGTAGTGCAAAACAGAAATATATATATATAATTTTTTTTCCAGGAGCTCTGGGAAAATAAATAAATTAAATAATTTAACAAATTAATTCAAAAAGTAGGGCTAAACAGATATATATATATATTCAGGAGCTCTAGATAAATAAATAAAAAATAAATAAAAATTTACATGACATACATAAAATAAATATATATATATATATATATATATTATAAACAAATACAATAATTTAAATAAAAATATATAAAAATGTATAATAAAATACAAATGTTATATATATATACACACGCACAAGCTGTGGGAAATTGCAAGGTTACATGAGACATACATTCACTCTGACTGATATTTTGAGGCAAAACATGTCAAACATGAAAATGATTTCTCACCAAAAAGACCGGTTTGTGTTTAGAAAAAGGACAAATGCTCTCTAAACGAACGACAGTAAAGAAAAATGTTTTAAATTCTAGCAGCAAGTATGTAGGTGTCATAAATGTAAAACTACACTCTCCGTTTAAAAACACAGCGTTTCATTTATTTTCTGGTGCTGTAGTCGCGAATCCTGCACCTGATAACACTTGAAAAGGTCTATCGATTCCCAGCTCATCCTCAAACACCTTACCAACTTTCTCAGGGTCAGAAACGGAGATCTGGATGTCAAACGTGTCCCTGTTTTCCTCGTCATCTTCATCCTAGAGAGGAAGAGTCCAGTGAACGTGAGAAACGAATGAGCCTCAGTGAGAGTGTGTATCATCATCTCTCAGATACGAGATCACAGTAAAGCGCTTCACCTGGTCCGGCGAGCGGTCGAACACGTCTGCTCTGGGGTTAATCGTGACGGGTGTGATGGCGGGAGACGGGCCGTCTGACAGGATCATCTGCCGCTCTGGACTGTCCAGAGACACTTCCTCCGTCGCTTCTGAAACAGAGAGATAATGTGAAAAAACATCATGCACAGATGCTTGCTTATTGCGTTTATAAAACGGTTATTCCATATACGTAGTAAGGTTTCACAAAATAAAGCAGAGCAAATAAAGTGTAAAGATATTAATAAACACAGTATTCTTCCACCAAACAATGTAGCTCCTCAGAAACAGTTGTGGTTGCTACAAAGTGGTTGCCGAGCAACACACAAACGTAAACAAAGGTGTGTGTTACTTTGTAGCGTCATTTACAACAGCTTCGAACCCGGCTCAGCCAATCAGAGTCAAGCACCAGAACTCTCCGCTGTATAATACGCCATTTACTATGCAGTTCAAAAGTTTGGGGTTGGTGAGATTTTTATTATTTTTCAATAAAGTCTCTTGTGCTCACCAAGGCTGCATTTATTTGATTAAAAATACAGTAAAAATGTGAAATATTATTAGAATGTAAAACAGCTGTTTTCTGTGTGAATATCTGTTAAACTGTAATGTATTTCTGTGATGTGCAGCTGTATTTTCAGCATCATTCCTCCAGTCTTCAGTGTCACATGATCTTCAGAAATCAGTATAATATGCTGCTCGAGAAACATCCTGAAGCTCCACATTCTGAACACGTAAATGGTTCATTTGAACCGTCATATTCACAAACTCTGAGACTGACGGATCACACACCAGCGAAGAGGTCGTCGGGGTCGTGGTCCAGCAGCATGGGCTCGGCTTTGGGTCCGTTAGAGCTGCTGCTGATGTCTTCTGGAGACAAACTCCGTTCAGCATCCTGCAGAAACAACAACAGGCCAGAGATGAACCAAGCCAAGGATGCTTTACAGCACAAACATTCAAACCAAACCGAGTCAGCAGAAGTCTAATAATAATAAATCTGTAAATCATCTAAATCTAGCAATAATACCCTGAGAATTCCACCCTGAAAACTGAAGCTCATTTCCCACTTCATATTATCATAAAAAAATATATATAATATTATTAGATTAAATATAACATAATAATACATATTGTAGAATAATTATAATATAATTATTATAAGCTTTGTAATGAAATGTTTTCTTTTTACTTTCTTCACTAGATCTAGAGAAGCTAAAACAGCCAACAATGATCTTGAGCTGCGTTACGCCAGTTAATATGACTCTCGCTCTCTTCACATCACACACACTTCAGCAGCTCATTAGAGTTAATGTTCACACACACTCACACACTCACACACACACACACACACACACACACACACACACTCACACACACACACACACACTGCTGCTCAACAGTGTGGCATCAGTAAGAGTTGTAATGTTTTTAAAGAAGTCTCTTCTGCTCATCAAGGCTGCATTTATTTGATCAAAAATACAGAAAATTTGTGAAATATTATTACAGTTTAAAACAGCTGTTTTCTATGTGAGTATCTGTTAAACTGTAATGTATTTCTGTGATGCGCAGCTGTATTTTCAGCATCATTCCTCCAGTCTTCAGTGTCACATGATCTTCAGAAATCAGTATAATATGCTGCTTTATCATCAGTTGTGCTGCTTCAAGTCTTTTATGGAAGCTGTGATACTTTTTCAGGATTCTTTGATGAATAAAGAAAGAGCAGCATGTGTTCAAAACAGAAATCTTTTCTAACAACATAAGTCTTCATTACCCCCCCCCCC